GCTTTCATTCAAGCAATTGCTTTATAAATGTATCCTCTTTTAAATCCCTGGTAACCCACTGACAAATTGAATTTCGAAAACTCCAAAATAATTGTGGTCTGAAGTGGATCTTCATGTTACCTGTTTTACCCTTTCGTGTCCTCAGCTACCTTTGATTGAATAAATACAGACTACTTCAGCTATATCAGTAACTGCATTAATTCAAAATGATTTTTAATGAAAGTAATTTAAAGTAATTGAAGAAGATCGACACTGTTACATCTAAACATGCTGCTGTTTATGCTCCATTCTAATTGAACGCTTTTCTTATCAACCAGCTGGATATGGCTGCTAGTGTATATATATATATATATATATATATATATATATATATATATATATATATATTTAAACCCGGTGGGTGAAAAAGACATGGATAGGACAATTTTCAAACAAATTGGCATCCGAGGAAAAAAATTGAAAAATAAAGAAAGCACTAGAAACCTCCAAGCAGGACAAAAGAAATCGTACAGTACTTTAAATTTCTGGCACAAAGAAAAAAAAATCCCAACGAGTAATAAGTGAAACGAAGAGTGCTCAATAGGCTATGTGGAGCAAAAGTAAAATAAATAAATCCTAATGAGCCAGGTACTACCTACCTAGGTTTCACCACATGAGATATACATATATATTGAGCCTCAAAGACACTATGTACGGGCGGATTTAACAGCAAACTAAACAGCCCAAGACAGAATTTAACAGCAAACTAAACATCACAGATAGAATATAAAACTCCATAGATCCCCCCTGATATTTCTCTCCCACATATAATCTCTGCATAGTTGAATACTCTGCTGTTACTATATAGAACAATTCACCACTCATAAAGTGCCCAAGTTGACTCCCTTAAATTCTCTCACCCTCATCCCCACTACACAGACCTGCTTGCAGAGGTAATGAGGTCTTCCACATACACACACTTACACAAATATATACACATACACACATCACACACACTCTCAAAACACTAAATGATACCATACACATAACACACACGTTCCCCACCCCAGGTATCAATAAAGCTGTCAACATGAGTAAAGAGGTAAATCTAAGACTCATGTGTCTCCCAACTTCTCCTTAAAAGAAGTTGAAAAGGGCTTTGACCAATACAAGGGCTAACCAATTATATATATATATATATATATATATATATATATATATATAATGGGGAGATATATATATATATATATATATATATATATATATATATATATATATATATATATATATATATATAGATAGATAGATAGATAGATAGATATACAAATGAAAACTAGAGGAAACGTTAACCTTCTTCAAAGACAGTTATTTACCCCGGTAGTTCACTGCTAAAAACCAGCAGGTATTTTTTTCTCCTGATGATGGCTATGTTGGCCGAAACTAGTCGAGGAACCTAATTTCAAAAAATAAAACAAAATATTGATATACGACCCAGTGTGTCTGAAATTTTAGTTTTAACACTTTTTATCGTTCAAGATATACATGAATATATATATATATATATATATATATATATATATATATATATATGACAACAACACACACACATACACACACACACACACACACATATATATATATATATATATATATATATATATATATATATATATATATATATATATGTCGTCGCATTTATGTGGATAATATTTATATACAACAATGTGTTGCTGAAAATTTCTTGGGCGAGAAAGAAGTGTTTCAAAAATGTCATCTTAATTGATTGTTCAGATTTTGGGAAATGGACCTAATCCATTCGTACATATAGACTACTAAAAAAGAAGTACTAGCTCTGTACTGAAAATATCGATGATCGATAGATCGATAAGCTAACAGATCACACAACTGGGTTCACTATTGGAAAGCTAGCAGTTTTTTTCAAGGCCCATCATAAGGGCAATTTCACTTTGTGCTCCGTACCGAATGAATAGCCAGCCAATTATAACCACGTCAGAAAAGACTTGACTGACTGATTAGAATTTTTGCACTGACACGGTTATGGCAAGTATACAGACGCCTACGTCTGTGATATGAAAAAAAATGCTGACTTTTTTTTTCTTTCTTTTATTGATTGAATTATTTATTCTCTCCGATTATGTCATTGTGTTATATGGAGAAAATATCGCAAATTTTTCCGTGGGTGTGCAGATTGTGTCAATCGATAGTAGGTCGAAATGAGAAAGGGGAGAGTGGATTTCGAATTCCAATCGAGATCTTTACATTCATTTGTGCACAAGTATGCTCGGAAAATATATGAAATTATCTCCTCCTCGCAGCTATGTGTTTCAATAGTATGATTTGTACCTGTATAAATAATTTTTATTTTCTAGAAAACAGTTAACGCAATATCTATTCGCAAAAAGAGGAATCATTCTTAACAATCCAAAATACATTCTGACTTTAAATAACCTAACAAGTGTTGATAAACCGTAAAAAATCATCTTGGAATTTTCACTGAGTGTTTTGTTAAGGAAACTAATTTTCTTATTATATATATTTTCTTGTGAGTAGTTCTTTAGGATACAACTTATACATTTTCATTTCCACACGGAAATAATCCATTGTATTTTGATTCTTGTTAAATTTTAATTCCAACATATATTGTAAATGATGTTGTCATATGACCATTTTAATGTTTGAATATATATTTTCTATGGCGGATAATGTAAGTTTTCGTAATCTTGTTCACATTAAAAATCATGGAAGCTTTAATAATAAAAAAGTAAAAACAAGCTCTTAACAATATTAACTATGAACAAGGCTAATGTGCTAACAGTATTGAGAAATTAAAAACATATCTATCACACACTAAAACATACACATGATGCACACACTCAATTAAGCTGAAAAATTGAATCATCCTTGATAATGGTTAAAGATATAGCCGAAAGCGCTCGGAACTATAAAATATTTGAATAGTTTTTACACACACATTGGTCAGAAAAGAAAGCTCTTGTTCGAACACAAGAAAAATTAAATAAAAAGCTTAACCGTAGTACCTTGTCTGTCGTTTTTAATGAAGCCTGCATAAACGAAGGATTGTTGCCTAAATATTCATATATAATATATATGTATATATATATATATATATGTGTGTGTGTGTATTATTATTATTATTATTATTATTAGAGATCTTTTTCTCTCTCCCTGTATATATATATATATATATATATATATATATATATGTTTGTGTCTCTGTGTGTGTGTGTTTACCGCAGTTTTTTTTATTATTTCTTTTTCTCACTCTCTCTTTTGTCTTCTTTGTGTTATTTTTCTTTAATTTTCTTTTTGTTTCTTCCTTTTACTTTTCTGTTTACCTCTCATTGGATTCTAGTACACCATTTATTTGTTTGTTAGTCTATATTTCTTTCTATATTTTTTATTCGTTTTGTTCGCTTCCTCTCGAAAAACACCAAAAAAATATAATAAATTAATAATGTCGATATAATGTATTTTGCAACATCGCATGACCAAAGAGTGTCATGGTTGGCGAAATCAAAGGATTCTCTGCTCGTATTCGCTAAAATGACACAATTAAATGATTACACATGAGCAACTAACGTGTTGCTATTCACATGTAGAATATAATGATTTCCCAATTACTACAGTAGAATAATTTTCTTATTTCCGCGTACACAACTACCTATTCTACATTTCCTTATTGCTCCCAGGAGGTGCGGAATTGGTAACAATTTACCAAGGAGTAAGAGAATTATCTTAATCTGCAACTAGTACGTGCGTAACCCAATGGTTAGAACGTTAGCTTTCTGTCCGTGAGGCCGGGTTCGAATTTCAACATTGTCGACTTGCCAAGGAGTTGACTTCTTGATAATATCGACCTGGGGAGACAATAGATACCTGAAAAACAATCTCAGAGAGCGGCGTCCGAAGACAATCTCAGAGTGCGGCACCAGGAAAATATATCAATCTCTGTGAATGAAACTGGATGGGGAAACTCTTCGGTAGTAGACGACAGATGCACTTGCAGGAAGTCATAAGTAATTATGACCAAGAACTTCAGTATACTGTCTCATCATAGATGTAGTATAAGCCACAGGTTAGTTTTGTGTTCGTTGAAGAAACCCATATATGCCTGAGCAGGCGTCTGCAACAGGGATTATCTACCGTCCTCATAGAATCTATAACCTCCCTACTAAGTGTTGTTAAAACTTTTGCGCATAATGGGTTCGTTTATGACTTATTTCCTGAGGTCTGTGGCTTGCGGTAATATTACGCTGAAACACCAATTCACGTATGATCACTGAAGTTAAGCAACGTCGAGCCAGGTCAGTATCTTGATGGGTACCGCTTGTTAATATTAGGTGCTCTAAGCTCAGTTGTGCAGGTGTCGCAATGGATAATGGTTCGGAATTGTTATTGAGAGAGCCCACTTCTAATTCCTGTTGGGTTCATTGTATTCATTTATGCATAAATAAACTTGCGATCCACCACTTCTCGCCCAAGCTATGGGTTAATTAGTAAGGCCTGTATAAGTAAATTATTACCTCGCCAACAACTACCACTATGAAAAAAAACTTTTATAAGCTAAAAATATGTTTCTTGATTTAAATAGCCTATAAAGCGTTGATAAAAATACCATCGCCCCTGTGCACATAATACTCATCTAGCTTTATCTATAGGGGCCATATATTCAGTGTATTCTGGACTTTTCTGAGAAAACCCGATTGTCAGTTGTGCATTCCATGTCAAAAAACAATAAGATTTAAAATTCTAAAAAGGGAGTAACCAGTACTTCCAGGAGAAACCAAAAAACAAAAACAAAAACAAACATAAGAAACACGTTTTTTGTGTAATGGAGAGCCTCTTTACTTGCCTTTCGAGGGCCCTGCGATTAAACATGTGGGTTGCTGCAATCCACCGTGTCTGAGCTATTCTAACGGGACTTGTCCGTCCCAATAGATTAGACATAAAGAAACAGTATCTTTTTCCTAACCAGTCGGATGTCGATAAGAAATCCTATTTTCCTAATTCAAGATTTCTTTCTCGCTTTCTTCTACATCCGAATGAATCGAGACTCTCACAAGTGGAACCAAGGCAAGTTTTCTTTTCCTATTCCTCTCAGTGCGACAAGTGTCTGCTAGTCGGTAGACGATCATTTTCATTCGTTGATTGATTTTGCTTAGAGGCATATCAATCTCCATGGTCTATTTAATGCCGAAATCTCAATATTTTTTATGTAATTTTATGCTTTCAAGTACATATATCATGTCCATAATTTTATAATGTTATTCCGTACCTATGGACTATAATGGGTATGTCCCAATCTTCATAAATACAGTGGAATATACTGTCTGCGGGGAGTTCACCACTAGCAGTGTTGAACACGCCGCTGGCGAATCTTGCATGTTGTTAATGTTATACAGATTACCGTTCCATTTCCAACGTTCGTTTTTATTATTCTTATTCAGTAACATTTTCTAGGTTACAGCAAATTAAAGAGAATATATATATATATATATATATATATATATATATATATATATATATATATATATATATATATATATATGTTTACCGCAGTTTTTTTATTATTCCTTTTTTTTTTGGTTAATTTGCAGTGTAACACGCGCATTTATGTGTAATTGCACATGCTCCATTCAAATCTGGCTTGATAAATTTGATAAAATCTACAGTTTTGGAGTTATCGACAGTGAAATTTTGGATTCATAGTGGGCAGCCATTACTGGAGTTGTTTGTATACATTCGCTGCAGAATAGCTATCAGACTAGTTATCATTGCGCAAATTGAGCGGGTATACGTAAATAGTTCTCGTGCGCAGTAATTGAGTCAAATTTAGATAGGAAAGATCAGTTTCGAGCTTAGCTTTCCGTAGTCTTCCGCGTGTAGCTTTCCGCAGCGAATGTATGTAAACAACGCGAGTAATGGCCGCCGCCAACGACACGACTGAATCCAAAATTTCACTGTCGATAACTCCAAAACGGTAGATTTTATCAAATTTATCAAGCCAGATACAAATGAAGCATGTACAATTACATATAAATGTAAGTATTTTGGAAATTTTTAATGCAAAATGAGTACGGGTGTTACAATACGAATTAACCTTTCTTTTTATCTCTATTTGTCTTTGCGGTTTTTTTTTCTTGTTCTTTCTTCCTTTTATCTTTCTTTGTACTTCTCAAGAGATTCTACTACTCCCTTTATTTATTTGTTAGTCTATATTTCTTTTTATATTTTTATTCTTTTTGTTTGCTTCCTCTCGAAAAATTGTTAAATGCAATAGAATATCAAGGTTTTTTTTATAATTCTTTTGTTCTTTCCTTCTTTCTTTTGTTCTTTCTTTCCTTCTTTCTTTCCTTCTTTCTTTTATGCTTTCTTTTGTTCTTTCTTTCTTTTGTTCTTTTATGCTTTCTTTTGTACTGTCTTTCGTTTTTTTCTTCTCTTCTTTCTTTTGTTCTTTCTTTTGTCTATTTTCCTTCTTTCTTTCCTTCTTTCTTTCTTTCGTTCTTTTTTTCAATCCTTCTTTCGATCTTTCTTTCGTTCTTTCTTTTGATCTTTCTTTTTTCTTTCTTTTGTCCCGTTCTTTCATTTTGTCTTTTTTTTTAATGGATAAGCTACTGTCGTATGTTGATAAACTCTGTCTTTATTGGATGAATTTGTGATTCATCTAACAATGTACATAAGTAGTGTAATTTCGTACTGATTTATCTGTTTTAAGTTCCTGTGGTTTGCGTGTTTTATCAATCCTACGCGATCAAAGTCTCTACGATTCTTTCTACCTATTTACCATTCTTCCAATTGATATCGTATACTTTTAGAGGATCTTTTGCGCCCGATGCTTTTTCTGAATCGCTATATTCACTGACTGGAGACTGTTTAGTCGACAAACCTTTTTGGAGGCGTGCCAGCATTGTAATGTCTTTTGTTTTAAGCGGAAGGCAAGACAAAATGCAAAGTAAAATTACTCACGCACACACATAATTGGCTGGTCCATTACTATGCTCAAAGGACAGACAACTTAAAAGCAAACGAAAGGCAAACGTCCTCAGTGCAAACCGCAGAGAAACACAAAATAGCTCGCACAAAGACACCCTTACAAAGCTCAGCATTTGGAGGCAGTGTCTGGGAAGCTCTTCCATCTGAAATATTTACTGGAAATATACCGTTGACGGCTAGTAACAATTACTTTGAGAAAGACGGGAAGGAATACGAAACTCTAAAATGAACTGCATGCAATATGTTATAAGCTCTGTACCCCACCCGCATGACGTAGGCGATCCTGGCACTCCACAACGTCCTGTCCCTTGAAACTCTTAAAATCTTCCTATTATTTCTTCTAACCCCTGATCTGCTATTCACTTACTCAAGCTCACTAAGTATGTTATGCGTTGTTTTCCGCCCTCTCTCACTCTTGTCCTCTATCTTTACCGTGAGTATTGGATTTTACAAGCTATATTTTCTCATTATATGCCCAAGAAGCATCAAGGCTTTCCTGGTGTTACATTTTAATTTCTTTTTTGTTTCCATGTTCGGTCCACTGTATCCTCAGCATCCTACAGTAGAAACACATTTCTGTTGCTTCAAGTCTCCTCTTCATTTTTGAGATCGTCCAGCCCTCGTCCTTCCATACAGGAGGGCAACTATCACGTAGCAGTTTAGTACCCTTTTCCTTGTTTCTAGAAAGGTATTTTACTCTTTCTTACTACTCTGCTTAGCTTATGGTATGCTTCCTTCCGTGAAAAATGCGACCGCGGATGCCTTTCAAATGCTGGCTTGTTTATTCACACACATCGCCACAACGACAACTCAGTCTATCGCTATAATGTCCAACCTGATTTCATTTGCAATGTATGCAGTAAAATGTGCAGGTCAGCAAGTAGGACGACTCATCATTAGAGATCAAAGCACCATGATACCAATGACGCAAGTGGGAAGCTTACTTGCAAAATATATGGCTTAAAACTTAGGCCACTGCTTGAAATGGTGAGTCATCAGAGACGTCATAAGCAGCGAAGAATTGAAAAATTATCTCCGGATAATAGAAAATTCTGAATAAGTGAATATATTATTAAGCGAACAAGACTGAAGAATAAAAGTCATTAGTTAATAGTTGTATTATCAAATAACATTTTCAAAAGCCTTGCTCAAGGTTCTGTCAGCCATTTTGTTAGGAAAAGTTGTACTATTTACTCATTCGCGTTTTTTGACCGTTAAATCCCGAATCTGGTTTGGTTTGGTTTGGTTTGTTTTATGGCATTTCAACCTCAATGGGCTATTTAATGCCGACAATATTATTTATTGCAGGTAATATTTTTTTCCAAAAATATATTGCTGGTCATAATTTTTCCTTCACAAATGCATTGCTGAAAATATTTTTTTTCTTCAAAAACTTATTGCTCGGAATATTTTTCCATCAAAAATGTATTGTAATATTTTTTCTTCAAAAATGTATTGCTGGTAATAGATTTTTCCTTCAGAAATGTATTGCTGGAAATATTTTTTCTTCAATAATATAATATTTTTTCTTCAAAAATGTATTACTGATAATATTCAAAAATATATTACTGTTAAAATTTTTTCTTCAAAAATGTATTACTGTTAATACTTTTCCTCAAAAATTTATTACTGGTAATAATGTATTGCTGGTAATAATTTTTCCACAACAAATTTATTTACTAGAATTAAAACCTATTTTACACTTTCATAGTGTTTTGAACCAAGTTTGGCGGTTAACTATTTGCCCATAGCTGAGACCCTAACAGGTGCTACCACCCCGATCAGGATGAACCTGGGAACACCAGCAATTAACAGGTGGTTCCAATCAGAGGCCTTGCTGTTGGACGTAATTTATCATCTTACCCAGGACGCAGATGTAGTTGCCGAGTATGGCCGAATCTGGAATAAAGTCGTTGTTTTTCTAAGGTTTGCTTCTATTTGATAGCGTAACAAATTTAAACATTGTTTAAACATAATTATTGAATAGATGCTTGAAATTATGCTTTGGGGTTGTTGAATTTTATGGATAATATCCTTGACATTCTCTCCTCCCTCCTCTTCTGCAACATTTTCTATCGCGGTGATAATTTCAACAATATTTTGGTCACCTAAATAATTAAAGCATCCAAGAGAGTAATAAGAATTACTGCATTTTGCTGCTTATAAGATGCTCCGATACATTAGACGCTCATCCAAATTTTGAAGGAAGTAATCAGAAAAAAAAGGTTTTTCCTTGAACTTCATAGCCCTTCCCACTATCCCCAGTTTTCTCCACTTAATAGCATATTTCGGTATCAAAAACACTGACTGATCGTGAAAAATTCATTACAGGCCGAGAAATATTACCAAATTTATGGTAACTATTCAGACGGTAATACTTTGAAGAGAAGTTAACTTCCGTTACCGACCATCGTTCATACGATGCAGGGTGTGTTTTTTTTAGATATTTTATAGAAAAAATAAATAGCACAAAATACAATGATTAAACTGATTTTATCAGCGTTTTTATTAAATGTTTGCTAGTTTTTGTTTGAAATTATGCATAGCGGATGTTTAACTTCATAGAAAATATCGTTCCAATTCTCCTCTTTCGCCTCTACAGCATTTTCTTGCGCGGTTATAATTTCAACAATATTTTAATCACATCAGTATTTCAAACAACGAAGGAATTAATAAGAATTGCCGTATTTCACTGCTTATAAAAAGCTCCGATGCATTAGTTGCAACCCCCACACAAAAGACTGCACATCCACTTCTTCAGAGGCTATATTTTGTTGCTTATAAGACGCTTAAAATAATAGCAAAAATAATACCATATTTCACTCCTTAGAATATGCAACAATGCATTAGATGCCTCTCCAAATTTTGAAGGAAGAAATTAAAAAGGATTTTCCTTGTACTTCATAGCCCTAACCACTATCCCTAACTTTCCCCACTGAATACCATATTTCAGCATGAAAACCTGATTGATCATGACAAATTTATCACAGGCCGAGAAGAATTACAAAATTTATGATAACTATTCAGAATGTAATACTTAGAAGAGAAGTTAACTCCCGTTACCAACCCCCACGTTATACGACGCAGGCTGGTTTTTAAATATATTTTATAGGAAAACTGCGCTTAAGTAGCAGCAAAATACGATAATTAAACTGACTTTATCTGCGATTTTAGTAAATGTTCACTAGTTCGAAATTGTTAAAACGCTACTCTGAAATGAAATCTTATGTGTTTAGTTCGAATAACTGAAAAATGGTCGAATGATTGTAATTTTTCTCTTCCTTTAACGTTCGGATAATCGAATTCTGGAAAATCGAAGTACATTTAATCAAGGAAGTATGGTAATAGGAATAAAACATATTGGAACTTCAAAAGGTTTCAAAGAGATTATCAACCAAAGCTTTGGGCCATAAACCAGAAACAGGAAAATAATAATCCGACAAATGTATGGAAGATATCGTCATAATATTTCACTTATCATAAGAAAAGAGTAATTTGCGTAAATGTCATTTGAAATCCAAAAATGATTAATTACCTAAAGGATAGATACGACTTCTATTTCGATATTTTTTTCAGGTAACAAGGTGAACCAATCAATTATTTTGTGCCTATTCAAAGCTATTAAACATGTGATCTTGTCCGAATTGAAATATTTGAAATAAGATTGAGCTATATTTTTATTAATCAATTATTGTGTCCCTTACTTGTCATTTTAAATGAAATCATCTATGAGTTAACAAACTTTGTTTAATTCGTTCTATTTTTAGCCAACTCTCATATTTTTTAAGAATTTCATTTTCTTCTGTATACTTCGCTATTTGTTTGATTTTGCTTTATTCTTTCTTTTCAATTTTCTTTTCAATTGAAACAACGTTGTTCTTTGTTCCATAGACTTTCTTTTGTTTCCAACAGGTCTTCTGTTTTTTTTTCTTTGCGTTCTTAGAAACTTCATTCTTATTTACATTTTATATTCCGTCGTGGGTATGACGATAAACAACATTCGCATCCTGAGTAAGAATACAAACTACATCCGCGTCCTGAGTAAGACAATAAACTGCCTCAGCATCCTGGGTAAGACGATAAACTACATCCGCGTCATGGGTAAGACAATAAACTACCTCAGCGTCCTGGGTAACAGGATAAACTACCTCAGCGTCCTGGGTAACAGGATAAACTATATCCGTGGCTGGGTAAGACGATAAACCACCTCAGCGTCCTGGGTAAGACGATAAACTACATCCGCGTCCCGGGTAAAGCGATAAACTACTTTAGCGTCCTGGGTAAGACGATAAACTACATCCGCGTCCTGGGTAAGACGATAAACTAAATCCGCGTCCTGGGTAATATAAACTACATCCGTAATACATTTTTGAATGAAAAAATATTACCAGCAATACATTTTTGGAAAAAAAATATTACCAGCAATAAAAATCTTGTCGACATTAAATAACCCATTGAGGTGTTGATATGCCGTAAAACAAAAGAAAACAAACCATTCTATATTTCGTGTTTCCTTTTCAGTCTGTCTGCAGGTTGTCCCAAAATAATGTATACATTATTTAAATATTAATAGTTAATAATACATTAGCGTGATGTGAGAACTTATATGGATGAAAATATGTAAAGCAGATGGATTGGAAGAAGAGGGTCAGTTGAATACCCACCTACATCACTAGATTTGACACCCTTGGATTTCTTTTTTTGTGAGGGTTTCTAAAAGACAAACTTTACAGCAGGAAACCTGAAACAATTGCTGAAATGAGAGTAGCAATTGAAGAAGAATGTGCTCAAATACCAGAGGAAATGATACTGGATGTTTGTAGGTCTATTTGTTCAAGGTATGAAAAGTGTATTGAACAGAACGGCAACCAATTTGAACACTTGATGTGAACTCATTATTATATGAACATTCTGCCATTGCCCCAAGTAACGTTTATCTTATTAAAGTTAATTTTCTATGTTTTGTGTATATTTTACTCTCAAATTCTTTAAATGTGTATTATTTCTCTTGTATTAATCTTATTTACAAGTCAAAATACATAAATTGATTAAGTTATAACGATTCAAAGAGTGTATACATTATTTTGGGACACACTGTATTTACTATTTACCCTTTCTTTTTAAAAATATTATTTATTTTATTACTTTCTCTATTCGGACATTTTCTTTTCTTTCCACTCTTCTTTCATCCATCCTTTATGTCGTTGTTTCTTTTTATCTATAGTGATGCCCTTTCATGTCAATCTTTTCTTCTAACACAATAAAAATAACACAAACTTTCTGCATGCACTAACAAAACATTCTTTCTTTATTTCTATTTACAGTGATACACCTTCATATCAATCTTTGAAACGTCTGTTTTGGAAGATAACCTAAACTTCCTCCATACACAAACTTTGTTCTTTATCTTTATTTCGTTTATCCTTTTCTTCTTTCTTTGTGGATCTCTTTCTTTCCTTTGTTCTTTCTTTTCTTTTTTTTTCTTTGTTTTTTTCTTCAGTTCTTTATTTCATTCCTTCCTTTTCTTTCTTTGTTTCTTCTCTTCTTTCTTTCGTTTTTTTATTCTCTTCTTTCTTTCGTTCTTTCCTTTGTCCTTTTTTTCTTCTTTCTTTTGTCTTTTTTCGTTTTTTTATCTTAATTTCTTCCTTCCGTTTCTTCTTTCTTTGTGTTTCTCATTCTTTCTTTCGTTCTTTCTTTTGTTCTTTTTTTTCGATCTTTTTTGTTCTTTCTTTCGTTCTTTCTTTTCCTCTCTCGTTCTTTCTTTTGTTCTTTCTTTAGTTCCTTCTTTCTTTCTTTCTTTCTTTCTTTCTTTCTTTCTTTCGTTCGTCTTTCTTTCCTCCTTTCTTTCGTTCTTTTTTTTCCTTTCGTTATATCTGTGTTTCCTTCATTCTTTCTTTCCTTCGTTCGTTATTTCTTTATTTCATTCTCTCTTCCTTCTCCTACATAATCTCTTACTTCTCACACTCTTTCTTATAGTCCCTTCTCTCTTTCTAATCTGTATCTGTATCTACGCCTCTCTCTCTCTCTCTCTCTCTCTCTCTTAGCTACCCGTTTGACACAGATATGACATATGCTTAGGGGCACAGTCAAATGATGCTGAAAACATCGGTTCTATGATCAGTATTGAGATAGGTGCCCATTTTGGAAACTAATTACTAAAAGAAACCTCTGGCCTTATGACACCGTACGCAAGACTGGAGAAATTCTTATTACTGGTTTGTTTCAATTTACATTGCTTCAAGTCGTCTGCCATGTAGACGAATTAATTTCTGATTTTGACACAGGTGAATGAAATCGAAAAAATCCCCCCCCCAAAAAAAAAACTGCAAAAATTTCAATGTTAATTGTCAGACCTAAGGGGCTCTCCTCACTTGGAAGATTCCAGCAATAGGAACTTATATCCTCTTCAGTTGATCTTATATTTCGCGAGGCTAATTTTAGTATCCAGTCACGGATTTAACACAATCAGCATAAAGTTAAGGTTCAGTTATTCGATTGAAAAGTTTTATAGTTCATTGCTTTCCGATAGCAATCATTACCTACACAACTAGAACGTACAGTCTGTATACTTGAGATCTTTTATTTTTATTTTATTTTTTTTTACATTGATGTTCATCACGTACAAGACTCGGGAGCCACTCGTGGTAGAGGGTTACAGAGGTAAGAAGCAAAGTTTATGCAGATATGTGTGGAAGATAACGGTTAACCCTAGACTTAAACAGTTTAGGAGTGCAGCGATCAAGGAAAGCCTCATCTTGAGAAAGAAACGTTTCGCGAGAAGAAGCGGCTCAAATGGAGGTGTAAGTTCATCAAGGGAATACGAAAGGAACGAGCGTGGCTCACTACAGTGTGCGAAGAATGGCGGGTCTTGGCCGTGAAAGTTAGAACTGGTGAAAAAAAAAAGAATTTAGTTCGTTTTAACACTTTCCATGGAATTAGCGATAGAACAGCGAAAGGCTTGCGATGTTTCGTCTGTGAGAAAGGGTAGAAAATAATTTGTTAGCCTCTAGGACACAGAGACGCTTTTGGACTCTATCGAGACTAGGGAATGAGGACTGGTCAGCTACTGTCAATATATGGCGACAGTACACCATTTTTGTTAACTGGTCTGGCTCTTGTAGAGAATAACAGGATGAGTCAAGGAGCCGTAAATAGAACGGAGAATTTTTACAGCATCTTTGTCCATGGTTCATATATACGAGCTCCACTTGATGACTGAGTTTAGTTTATTTTCCAATAGGCGTTCACGGTCATGGAACATCCGTTCATCTTGATCGGTCATATCTCTGGGTCCAAGTGAAGTAAGAAGGAAAAAAATGAATACGTCAAAACTTCGTTGATGGGTAATACGTAAATTTATTAAATCTAAAATATGGTAAAACAGAAGTAATTCCATTTTATCATTATAAAAACAAACAATCGAAGTCACAGTCATGTTAAACGATTTTTATTTTATTAAAACGAACAGAGAGAAAACTGGAGATAGCCATTAATTAATGAGGATTTACTGAGGTTCTATGCTTTTCCTCATTTATATGGGAGAAGCCTCTCAGCCCCGGGGATTCCAAACGGGCAACAGCACCTTTCCCCTTAGAGTAAAAGAGGTAGGGTCGTGTGTGTCGTGAGCTCGATTCCTATAAGAACTCGTTTATTGCGGCTTTGTACCAGAATTAGTTTGCCTTATAAAATAATCACTTTGGTTAAAAAGAAAGAAAGGAGAAATATTGAGAAAGAGGAAATAATCAGAAAAAAAAGCAAAACGAAAAAATATTGTGAAAGAAAGAAAGACATAAAGAAAGAATATTCTGAAAGAAAGAAAGAAAAATGAAATATATTGAGAAAGAAAGAGAAAATATTGAGAGAGAAAGTAAAAGGAGAAAGACTCAGAAAGAAAGAAAGAAATATATTGAGAAAGAAAGAAAGAAAATATTGAAAACGAAAGAAAGAAATAAGAGAAAATATTGAGAAAGAGAGAAAGAGAATATATTGAGAAAAAAGAAAGAAAGAAAAATATTGAGAAAGAGAGAAAGAGAATATATTGAGAAAAAAGAAAGAAAGAAAAATATTGAGAAAGAGAGAAAGAGAATATATTGAGAAAAAAAAAAAGAAAAAAGAAAGAGAGAAAAATATATAGAGAAAAAAAGAAAGAAAGAAAAAGTAAAAAAGAATGAAAGAGAATATATTGAGAAAAAAAGAAAGAAAGAAAAATATTGAAAAGAAAAGAGAATATATTGAGAAATTGAGAAGAAAAAAAAAGAAAGAAAGAAAATATTGAAAAAAGAAAGAAAGAAAAATATTGAGAAAGAAAGTAAAAAAAGAATGAAAGAGAAATTATTCAGAAAGAAAGAAAGAAAAGTGATAAGTTATTGAGAAGAAAAGAAAGAAAGAAAATATTGAGAAAGAAAGAGAAAAAATGACAAAATATTGAGAAAGAAAGAAAGAAAAATAGTGAGAAAGAAAAGAAAGAAAAATATTGAGAAAGAAAGAAAGAAAAAAGAGAAAATACAGAGAAGGAACGAAAGACTAAATATTGTTGAGTGTATTTTGGCAGCAAGTTTTTTTATGTTCATCTGAAAATAAATTCTTTTACTTGTGAAGTGAAAAACGCGATATATATATATATATATATATATATATATATATATATATACATACACACACATACACACACACACACACACACACACACACATATATATATATATATATATATATATATATATATATATATATATATATATATAAACAGAATAGAATTGATTAAGAGCTAGACAAGTGTGTATATAGGAATCTATTTCCAGAGGTACTGAATGGAATTAACTTACTCCACATATGGTCGTATATTTTCAAAGCAAATTATGTAAGGGGTGGGGCTCTCGACTATCCTAAGTATTTATTTGCAACCATAAACATTTCATCCAAACCATATATATATATATATATATATATATATATATATATATATATATATATATATATATATTTCATTTCATCCGACATATTTTAATTCATTTCCAAAACGTTTATTTTAATCGATGCCCATATTTATGTAGACGCTCTTTCTTTATTTACTTATTAAGCGGTATATTTATCTATTTCCATTTATATTTATCTATTTCCATTTATATTTATCTATTTTCATTTACCACGTTGGGTATTCGAGAAATCTTATATAGATGGAAATAAATATACTGTTTTATAAATAAACACAGCATTTACTCAAATATGGGTATCTATTAAAAATAACCTATATATATATATATATATATATATATATATATATATATATATATATATATATATATATATAAACACACATTCACACTTGTATTTCTGTGTGGAGAGAGAGAGAGAGAGACAGATAGAGAGACTGCTTATTCTGCAAGCAATTTCTCACTCTAGAAGCCTTATTAAAGACTAACATTATATTGTAAGGATATTTTTTTTAACATTATCACATCAGGATTCAAGTTTTATAAGTATTGTTCAATTCTGATTTGGTTTTCGCCAAAGATTCCGTTAGTGGGCTAATAGGAAAAATTCTTTTTGCAAATAACTTTAGTTGATCCATAATGATAATATATATATATATATATATATATATATATATATATATATATATATATATATATATATAAAACCTATATATATATATATATATATATATATATATATATATATATATATATATATATATATATAATTATTTTTTTAAAATATATATTCAGAAATTACCATGCTTCGAAACCAAAATGTAAATCTTAAAACTTAAAATTTGAAGTTCATTTTCAATTTCAATCGATGCTTCCAAAAAAATTGATTTCCTCCAATCATAAGCTAAATTGTATTTTATAGTTTAAGTTGACGGGTGAATGAGGATTAAAAATTGGTTTTAAGGATTTGTTGGTTTAAGTTGATGGATGAATTAGGGTTCAACATTTTTTTATTAAGGTGTTTTTTACGAATCAAGATACAAGTTTAATTTTAGTTGGCTAAGTAAAAATCGGTTATGGTTAGGTGTGGATTTGCAATTTTGGCTCTTTATACTGGCTTAACAAAATGAAACTACTGAAAAAACGAGAACTTGTTGACCTTTAAATGACCCATGTTATTTGTGTCTACATAAAAAGTTATATATTATTAAGCTTCTGAAAAATAAAAATTTATTAAATCAAAGAAATGAAATAGCATTTTTTGTAGACATTGTCTCATATTTTCGTTATAAAATAATTAATAAGAAAAATGATTGGTATAACCATATATCTATTAGTTGATCAAAAATAAAATAGTTTAAAAATGCGTAATTAAATTCTAATATTTTAGTTTTACAATACTATATATAGTTTATTAGTAAACACAATAAATATAGTATCTTAGATCGTTATAAGTTAAAATAAAATAATATGATTTAATCATATTTGAAGACCCGTTTAAGAAAATATCAATGTATTTTAAAAAATAAGAAAATTAATAAATGCAAAATGCCAATTGTATTTTAGTGTAACCTCACCCAAAAAACAGACTGAGATGGCACTTTCGCATAAAAGGAAGTCAGTATCAACAAATGAAAATCACAAAACCCGAAACTCGTGTAGCAGAAGATATGGACAATAAAGTACAATATATAAAACAATTTACATCATAACCAAAAAAAGTTTGTGGCTTCTCCTTACACACACACACACACACACACACACACACACATATATATATATATATATATATATATGTAGTTTGTCTAAAAATTTTAATTTTTAAATATTTTTATTGTTCAATACATACATATATATATATATATATATATATATATATATATATATATATATATATATATATATTACTCAGGCGTTTTAATTTTCAATGGAAATACTTACATATTTGAACTTATATTATTGCTATTTACATCCTTCGGATTGTGGTTTTCATTTTAGTTTTCATATTCACAACGTATCGGCCGTTGTAAATAACTGAAAACTGACACATCCGCAAGAGGCATGGCACGTGGAACTAGAACACTCCACCTCGGCGGACGAAATAATGGGTCCGGTTTGAAATTCCAGTTACCTGATGCAGGCAGGAGCATACAGCGGCTGAAACGTCGTGAATATGACAACAAAGATGAAGACAGCAGCCCGACTAAAGTAAATAGTGTAAATAGTTACAATACCTCATCACAGAAATCCAGATATATATTATTCCACCACGTATTTACCATTTTTTTTCTCCGAATATGCCTCCCCATCTTTCAAGCAATAACGTGATTCCCAAGACCTGGGATATTTATGAGTGATGTATATTTCTGTATATGTGTTTCTCTCTCAATCTCACTCCCTCTCTCTCCCTCTGTATGTATGTGTGTGTCTGCGTGTATGTGTAAGGGGTTGTAGGAAACGTGTAATGGTTGGAGGTCAGGCACTATATATCCAGTAGAATTAGAAATGGAAATATGTTATTCTAATCTACAATTCCTTACAATTCCAACAAGAGTTCCGCGCTCCAAACGCATCTAACCTGCGCAGCTGATATAGACACTTAATCAATAATCCATGGCCAATCATATTTGCAAACATATTTCATAACAGCTAACGTCTCTAAGCCGATTCTGTTCAGTCGGCTAAATTTGGTTTTCTTCTCTTGAAACACAGGTTCCATAAGGGCATAATCCTTTACTTTACACGACCACAACAAGCTTACTATTCAACAGACCGTCAGCAAATTCCGTTTGTCTTCGTTATTTTATTCACTAAGTCATCATTTTTATTCAGCTGTGCTTCAATCTGTTGATAAAAAAGACCGTAAATATTCCTGTTGTTGGCTTTGGGTATTGTACAGATATTTGTGCGAAGTGACTTTCCCAAGAAAGAATTAAGCCAATGGCAGGTTTCTTTGACAGTAATTCAAATTAAGTGTGCCGCTAATAATACTACTGCAGTCAGTTAATTCACAAAGAATAAGGAGCGAAGATTTACAGGCGAGAGTTGGAAATAGGATTACACATGCATTTTTTTATAGTGTATGTGTGCGTTCGCGCGCGTTAGTCCATGAGCCTGTCTGTGTAAGCTGTCGTCATTATTTTTCATTTTCGTTTATTTTTTTTCTCCACTTTACAATTATTGCCATTTGTTGCAATTTGGCTTCCGTTTTTTTTTTTTTCAAGACAAGCTGTCGTTTTTAATTTTTGAGATGTGTGTGTGTGTGTGTGCGCGCGCGCTTGCACGCGTGCGTCTCTGTGTATGTGTGTATGTAGGATATATATGTTTGTTTTATTACGACACGAGAAGCTTTCAATCATTCAAGATAGCGCTTTGTTAAATTGGCAAGCATTCGTAACTCGACAAGGGAATGAATCACTAACTTTCCGGAATTACATGCTAGTTGCTTAACCTCTCTCCTGGAACACTTTGAGTCTGATAGATTTTCGATAAAACAATTTATCGCTTTCATAATAACTTCAGAGTGCGATATTTTTCAGATATCTATCTATCTATCTATATATATATCTATATATATATATATATATATATATATATATATATATATATATATATATAATGTGGGGGTAATTTTAATTTAAGTCAGCGATACGGTAGCGAATTATGCATCGAAAAATAATTCATATTTATCTGTATCTCACTCATTTAAACCGTTATTTAACCCCTCTCTTAAATTTTAAACCCCACCTTCACCCTTAGGCCTTCCTGTTCTTCTTTCTTCTGTTACACCCTCTCTCTAAAGCTTTCATACATTTCCCTCTCACACTTGTTTCCCACTCCCACACATACACTCTCACTAAAAAAAAAAAAAAAAAAAAATTATACCCGGAGTTATATTTTCCGATTTCTTTTTTGAATTTGTAGGTCTCATGAATTGGATCGTGATTACGATTCCAATGTAATAAATTATAACCATGGAATATTAGTGTTTGAGTCTTTTCATTTATATATATATATATATATATATATATATATATATATATATATATATATATATATGCAAAATTGCACAACAATATCCTGAAATACGAAAGAGTAACTTTATTCCATAAAATCGCCACTGGCTTCAACCTCGGCCTCCAGACGACTTGGGAATCTCCTGCATCACTCCTGGTCGGTTTCCTTGTTTAAGTTGGTGAATGCTGCCATAATCCTTGCCTTCAGTCAGTCTTTGGTATTAGAGGCAGTTTTGTTGGTCTCTCACTCAATTGCCCTCGTGCATGATAAAGGGGGCTGCACTCTGGGGAGTTAGGTAGCCAGATGTAAAGAATGATGCTGCTGCAGAAATTGACTGACAGTCATGACTGGGTTTTCTTGCTTGTGTGGCATGGTGCACTGTCATGTTCCTAGATACAGTGTCTTCCAGCAACTACCCTCTTGATTCCAGGTCAGCACTACCAACTCAAGGCACTTGATGTAGGCCTCCCTGTAGAGTCTGAACCCTTGTGGGAAGATGAATGGAGGCATAATGTCGCCACCACTAGTGATCACTCCAAAAATCATGATGTGGAGTGGCTATATCATAGACCT